GAACAGGCTTCATTAATATCCTTTTTTAGTCCCTGAAGGTGGTTAAGTATGGGCCAGGACATTTATCTGCAGCTCCCTGAACATATTGAGGCCCTAATGTGGATCAAAGACAGTAAGAGGAAAACACAAATTTACTAATGCAAAATATGGGATTATTTTCTTTAGCATAACTGGCTAAGAGCTTGTGGAGGCCTTAAACACAATTTAGTGGTATTTCTCTGTATGTACATAACATTTGAATGTTGTAGTTGATCAATTCTATAAAATGTTCTAGGCATCTGTGGTGTAGTGTCAGTCCCTTGCTGGTTGACATGCTTGGGCTGTGGGTGACCCCCACTGGCGGCTGTCTGTAAGCATGGCCCAGCAGGAGATGCCTTGCCGCCCCAGGGCGGTGGTCAAACCCGTTCTACAAGTTGAGGGAAGAGGCTGAACAAAGGAGCTGGCGGTTGGGGAAAGGGGCAGGTTTTTTGGGCTGAAGCCATGAAGGAGGGGGCTGGGGTTGTAAGGGCCCAGTCACCCCCATCTTAAGGGGGCCCTGAGGCATTCTGGCCCTAATTCCTGTAACCAGATTACATCTATGCTGTGCTGTACCCTGGAGAAGCAATAAACTCTCTATTCTACTGGCTGGGGGGGGCTGTTCCTGCTGCTACGGGGGTGCAGGGTTGGGGGAACCCAACTCACCATCACAGCATCAATGGCCAGAACCCTATTGATCCAGGCAAAAACTTAAAGGGGAGAACTGGGGAGATATCTGGAGACCTTGCCATCTGATTAGCACAGCCACAGATTTAAGTACCTCTCTTATAGACAAAACAATTTCTAAATGGCACCCATGAATGGTCTCCAGCATAATAATGTTCTCTCACATTTCTTCTCACACTCCCAATAGAGTTTAACTTGACACTGTCAATGACTTATCTCCCACACCACCACCACCACCACCACCAAGGAGTATGGCAATACACACAAAGTCCCTGACATGTTGATGGGGGACAAGGAAAACAAAACCTCTCTCGGGGAAGAAATCAGAACAGTTTGGAAGGGGGAAAGTAGGTGTAGTCTAAATGTTTGGGCTGGAGCCTGGGACTTCTCTACTCAGGGCATCCTGCACAGCTGGGGCTCCAGCCTAAGCCTAACCATCTACACCAAAATGTTGTAGTCTCTCAGCCCAAACCCTGCATACCTGATTCAGTTGACATAGTGTAGACATGGTTATGGTCAGAAGTAACTATTACAGCTAAGATTAGAATGTGTGAGGTTTCCACTCTGCCCACTGTTCAGACCTCTTTTCTTGTGTTTACAGTATAGCATAGAGCAATGGAAAAATGAGGTTAGAAACACTTCTCTGCTTCCACCCCCACATTGAGAGTTTAATTTAATATTTGCATTATGTTTGAAAGGACCTAATAATAGCCTCAGTTAGTCTAATTCAGGAAGTTAAATAGCTGTTCTGCTTTTTGTGGTTCACGGCACAGTATGTTGGCTTTTGATATATTTTCCTCTGCAGCTCCCACAGTAAAACTTACATGCATGTTCAAAAAACATACAACACTTGAAAGCTTACCATGTTTCACTTGCTTTAATGTAGAGGCAACCTGATAACTGAAAACGGATTCACAGAGGAATCTTTCTGAGCCATCTGTAAATGAAATAGAGAGGCGATTTAATCTTTCCTAAGAGTTTTATGTCCAAAAAGCTTTCAATAAGTGCTGTCACTCTTTTTTACAATTTTTAATGTTCAGTGTGTCCTTTTTCCTCTGCTCACCTATTTAGACACGTTGTCCTATTCTGGTAATGTGCAGCCTTCTGAGTCAGGAAGTGGTAGGTTCAAGTCTCCCACAAGGGCTTTGACTTTTACCCAGTGCTAATATGGAAATGCAGCACAGAGTGGGTATGGTGCTGCACTGTTAGGTATTATGGTACTACAGGCAGTCCCCGGGTTACGTACAAGATAGGGACTGTTCTTAAGTTGCAGACCAGGGAGATGGGGAGCAAAGCAGAGCAAAGCCGCGGAGCACATGGGCAGCCCAGACGCGTCTGGGCTGTCCGCTGCCCGGGTGCTCCGCGGCTTTGCTCCACATCTCCCTGGTCTGCTGGTCTGCTGCCGGCGTCCTCAGAGGCTTTGCTTCCCATCGTACTTGTGCCTGTTCCTTATGGCTGCTGTTGAGATGGATGAAAGATGATGTGGCATTCTGATTAAAAGAAAATCTTGATCTCTTAGCCATTAGTCTTTTTCTTAACAACGAACTTGAATAATCAACAGCCCAAGAACTATTGCTGAACTCCTAAAAGATCTGCATTTGCCCACAAAAGTCATCCAACTCATGTTTAGGAAGTCTTGAGATCTAGTTTGAAAGCTCCATGAAGCTCAAGTTTTCCCTGTGTTTCTGAAAATACAGCTAAAGATGTGTGGAGTAGCCCTTGTATGAGAGTGACAATTCACCTGTCCAAATACAAAATGACAATTTCACCCTTAAAACAAAATTGACTGTTCCACAGTGCAATTATAGGACAAAGCAGTATGTTAGTGCCACACAGTGTACTGAAAACCAGAAGGAGAATCACTGAAAACACTGTATAAACTCAGCTGTGAATGGCTTTTTGGGAGACGGTAGGGTGACTGACTTATGTTCACTCCTTGGCTGAGGACAGAGCAGTGCAATATGAAAATAAATGTTTAGCAAAGGTGGTTTTGTCATATAAAAAGCACAGTGAAAGGAGACCAGGTTCTAGAGAGACATAATACTTGACAATCTGTACTTCAATTTTTCTTTAAATACAAACCTTAAAGCAAGACATGGTCCATCAGCTATCCATTGTACAGACAATAATGTCTGTTAAATGTTAATTGAGACTCACAATAAATCAGAAAAAAACTGGGCTTGTTTCTGCAAAGTATATAGCTCTTTAACTCCTACTGTCAACAAGAGTGAGAGTGCACAACTACTCATAAGTGGGTCTTAAACTCTTTAGTACCTCCTTATCTCAACCCCTGACTGGGCATTTTTACCTAATATAAAAGGTCTTCTTAGGACAACAACTGCTATTGCCTGATACGTATGCAAGTCTTGCTCTATCAACATCATGGCATATTCTTCCATTAACTGATGTCTGCAACTGTAGGCAGAGCCTCCAGTCTTCACCATGTTAAAGTATTTTGTTCAGCAACTGAAAGGCTGTAAAATAGATTTTATCATCCTCAAGGAAGTGGCTATCTTCAAGTTCTGAGGTAGACTAGAGTACCGGCAGTCCCCGGGTTACATGGATCCGACTTACATCGGATCCCTACTTACAAACGGGGTGAGGCAACCCCGCACTAGCTGCTTCCCCCCAGCAGACCAGGGAGATGCGAAGCTAGCGACCCCCCGCAGCAGACCAAGGAGACGCGGAGCGGCTTTTCTCAGCAGACACTTCAGCTTGAGAATAAAGGACTGAGGGAAGTGAGGTGTGGGAGAATAAAACTGAGCTCTGGAGAAATGTTTGGCTAGAGTTTCCCCTACAATATGTACCAGTTCCGACTTACATACAAATTCAACTTAAGAACAAACCTACAGTCCCTATCTTGTACGTAACCCGGGGACTGGCTGTACATCTGATGCTACAGATTAATGACTATATGGAGCAGTGGGATAACCATATAGTGAACGACAATTTCATACTGCAAGTGATACTACCAGCACTACTTATTCTATACACAACCAATTTAAAATAATCCCATTTTGTGCAAAATATTCTAAAAACTAAGGGCAATGGAGTTACAATTCTACAGCTCACTCCAGTTCTCTCTCAGCTCAGAGAGAAGCTCATATACAGAATGATCACTAATATTTATGGCTATTAGGATAAATATTATAGTTAAGACATTTATACACATTCTTCGCTAAATTAATTTTAAAGCCAAAGGAGATGCACAGTCCTCCAAAGACTTCTTTGTTCTGCCAGGCTACCTTCCTGTATGTCAACTATGATGGCCAAGTATTAAAATCAAAGTTCCTGCTAAGCTGTGTGGTAGCACAAGTGCCTAATAAGCCCTGCGCTCCTCTAGCCCCAGCCAGCAACTGCTGTGGCCAGGCAAGAAGCGTGCTCCTCTGGCCACGCAGCATGTTGGATTAAGATGGGCTTTTGGGGTGCTTTTGCTGTAAAGCTCCTGTGTTGTGGGGCGTATGGGTGCAGCTCCATTCGCTGCCATTCCTTCCCTCCAGGCTGGGACCATGTCACTAAGTGCCAGGAAGCTCTGTCCCCACAGTCACCATTGGCCAGGAATCATGGCAAATGAGAGCTGCAGAGGGTGGTGCCTACAGGTGAGCACCGGGCAACATGGAGCCACCTCTCGGCCATCAAATGAGGTTATAAGTGTCCTGCACCCCAATCCCAGATCTCCACAGCCTAAACCTGAGCCCCTTCCTGCTCCCTAACCCCTGCCCACACCCCAAACAACCTCCTGCCCAGAGTCTGTTCCTGCACCCCAAATCCCTTGGCCCCAGCCTGGAACCTCTCATGCGCCCCAAACTCACCCCTAGCCAGAGCCCTTATCCCCCCCCCAAATTCTGAGCCTTCCCTTATCGACTAATTGTATAGTCAATAAAATTTTTGACTGACTACAATACACGATTAGTAGATTACCCATTTCTTAACATCCTTAGCACATACTAGTCTCCGTTGCTTTTCTTCTTCTTCCCTCTTCCTCTGAGGGTACATCTACACAGCAGGGCTAGTTGAAATAAGCTATGCAGCTTCAGCTACATCAATTGCATAGCTGAAGTCAAAATAGCTTAATTTGGCTTTTGGTGCTGTCTACACAACAGGAAGTCAAAGGAAGAACACTCTTACTCTGACTCATGGTAACCTCATTTTATGAGGAGTAAGGGAAGTGGAAGGAAGAAGTCCTCCAGCTTAACATTATTTCAAAATAAAAGCTTGTAGTGTAGGCATGCTCTTTGTTATTGCAGAGTAACGCCAGTTATTCTGAAATAACAATGCTGCTGTGTAGATGTACCCTCAGTGAGCAAGGGAAAGTGCAGATCTTGCTGCTTTCCTCTTGCTCCTGGCTGTGCAGGAGAGGAGAAGAGGAGAAATGGTGGTGGAAGGGAGGGGGCTTGGGCACTCATGGACAGTGGGGAAGGCACCCCCAGCCAGCCCCTTTAAATGTGTCT